AGGACACATGAGAGGCAACCATACACTGATATTTCTTTCCTTCTCTCCTTCCCTTTCCCTCTAAAGATAAATAAATAAAATCTTTAAAAAAAAAACTGTTAGAGATTTCCTGTAAAAAAAAAAACTCTAAAGATAAATAAATAGACAAAGAAGAATAACAAGGTTGCCTTAAACAAAACTAGTCATCTTTGAAAATGAGTAAAACCATGAAATGTTAAAGTGGCAAATCAAGACATAAATATTTTTGTGAATAATGCTGCATCAAAATACTTAACAAACTGTCAGAAATTGGAAAACAAGAGCAGTAGGACCCTTTAAGCTGTTATGTTACAATTTCTCCCAGTCATTTACCGAGTAAACAGGTAAAAAATAAGCAAGCACTGAGAGGAGCTAAACAAAGACTATCGGCTCGCACTGCTGACAGTTTAGCTCCTGCTCCTTACAGCTCATTCTCTCCTCTCCACGCCCCCCCCCAAGAATACTGAGGAGAGGGAGAGATATCAGTCTTTCTTAAGGCACATGTCAAAATGCCTTCGAGTCAGGGGACAGTTGGGGGCACAATGCAGAGCATCTTTCTACTTGTTCAGACAATTTTGTTTTGAGAACTGAAAACATTGAAGGCAAGTGCTAAAATCTGGATATGTTTTCCTCATTTCTGCTCCATCTGTTTTAAAGTTAGGGTCAATTCCTCTAAGATTTTCACATTATAACAGTATCTGTTGGTTTTAGATCTGCACAATGGAATAAACCTAATGTACTTCAAAGTTCATTTTCCATAGTTACAAACATTAGGTTTACTAATATTACTAAAAACTTTAAACAAATCTTAATAAATTACAGCTGAAATTTAATACAAAAGGTTCTAAGCAAAAATTCATCTCATAGTTTAAGAGGCAGTACCAAGTAATGGTCAGAATGTAGATTTGAGAATCAGACAGCTTGGTTTCAAACCCTAGCTCTGCCACTAGCAACATCACTGAGAAAGTATTTTATGCCTGAGTATCCTCATCTGATACATTCTAACAAAAGTGTGCACTCACATGACCACCCCACTCAAATCTACAAAACATTTACCTAATTCTATAAGTCTCTCCTGCCCCTTTGCAGTCAATTCCTATACTTTACCCTAGGAAACCACTAAGATTTTAAAGATAATCTCTTTTAAAGAATGGTGACATAACCTTTGAAGGACATTTACTTTTCAATTTGCCTACTGAAGGTATATGTGTATTTCCTTTTAGATTAGAAGCCTAGGGTTATACCCTTAATTGTTTTGTCCTATGTCTTGTAAGATAACCACTATGTCAACAGAAGAGAATTCCTAAATTCAGTTAGGGAAGGAAAACTAACAAATTTGTTATTAAGACATCTTACCTATAGGCACAGAGGTCTTTCTTTTCTTTAAGTTTGGTTTAAACACAAAGCAGCCCTATAAAAAGGGGGGAAAAAATCATAAAGTCAAAGTAGCCAAAGAGCAGTAAATCTACTAACCAAGTATTTTATGGATAAGCAGATTTTTAAAATGTATTTCTTTAAAGTGCTAAGAAATCATCCCTTTTCTATCCAAATTATATTAGGAAAATTCTTAAGAAATACAAGAACTATCCATTTCTTTCTCCTCCTTCCCATGGGATGTTTATGTTTGATTTTGCTCTTAGAGACCTTATTTCAGAGGTAAACAAAGAAAATAAATGCTGATGAAATTTAACTCAGAAAGGTTCCATTTTTATAAAATTTAAAGAAAGAGCATTAGTATACATTAAAGCCAAGATCAAGAATATATAAAATAGGCCTGACCTACTTATACACAGGAATGATGGTTGTGCATCATTTCCACAAGTGAAAGGCTCAACTCCCTGTCAGGGCACATATTTGGGTTGCAGGTTCAGTCTCCAGTAGGGGTGTCTACAAAAGGCAACCAACTGATGTTTCTCACCCTTTCTTTCTCCCTCCCTTCCTCCTCTCTAAAAATAAATAAATGAAGTCTAAAAAAAGAGAACATATAAAATAGTTATGCTCCTATCTCAAAAGAACTATTTATTTTTTAATTAAACTCCAACTATCTAGAATCTGGGTGGGAAATACATAATTTGGGCTATTTTGTGTCACCTTTTTTCATCTGAGAAATTCTTACTCTTTCATCCATTATTGGTCAACTCAAACTCACCCACTCTTGGGAAATCTCCAATTCTCTAGTTAAAATATTCCTTTCCCTAAGATCTCACACTACTCAAATATCTTTATTTTAAATCGCTTTCACACTGTATCACAGTTATTTAGGGTCTGTCTCCCAAAGTACTTTGTGAGCACCTTCATAGCAGACTGAATTCAGTTCATAATCATTTCCCCAATGTTTAGGACAGGGTTCAGCCTAATTATTATACAGAAGGAATGCTTGCCAAGTAATATTCCTGGTAATTTCCTAGCTACACATAGTTTCATGTTATAATTTGACTAGTTATACATAGCCCCCAAGCTACTGGTCTTATGTTTATTCTACCAATCCTAAAGCCACATATCATGGATAGCTACTTAAGATTGCCATTTCTAAGGAAAAGGAAAGAAAAAAAATATTTATCTAGAAAAAGTCATCTCAGGATAGTGCTGAAGACAGCAGCACAAATGTAAAGTGGTCATTTGGATTATGGAATCCAAAGTGAGAATTGTGCCTTATACTTTTGAATCTGCTACTAGTAGAACTACTTAAAATACACATACATATTAACAAAAATGGTGTGGTACCATGACAAGCTTGTCATTGCCCCTTTCTACGCCCATCTGCAATTCAGAAAAGGAAAAGGAGCTTTGAAGGCATGAGATACAAAAAATACCAAGAATGAATCATAATTTATGGCAATGGTAGTAATAGGTTAATCACTCTGAACTCCTGATCAAGGAATGTTATTTGAGATGGAGGGAGAATCTAGGACAGCTGACAGCAAGAAAATATGACAGGGAAAGAGAAGTTGAGTAGCTTAGGGGCAAAAAAGCCCAGCAGTTCCATGAACTCCAGAAATAGTCTTTAAAGATTCTTATTCATGTAAGAACTCCTTCATAATCATCTCAATACAACCATTTCTGTTATGCCATTAGTGCTTTCCTGGAAAAAAAAAAAACCTCACAATTTTGCCAGATACCAAAATTTAGTCTTATGCAACAAAAAGGATTAGGGGACAACACTTGAAATCTATGGAACTTTACTACCAGGGCAAAACAAAACCAGTACCAATCCTAGTTTTTTAAAAAAACGCTAAATCTCTTCTAGCATTTGCTTCTAGCATCACAGTTAGTCAATCCTTTGAAAATTAAAACCCTAAGCTTGTACCCCCTCCTTGGTATGTAGTCTTGGAAGGCACTGCTTCTCATAATTTAAATCAAAATTAAAAGATCCATGGTGCAGCCCTCTTCACTAACCTGGTTTAACAAAGAGAGAAATGTTTTTGCAGATTTTTCATCTGCATTCTCAGCTTTATCAGACACCTTAACTAAAAGAGCTTCCAGTTGCACTCATATTACTAAAGGTCTTTGTCTACAGCAGTGCAATCCAACAGGACTTTCAGTAACAAGGGAAGTAAAGTAATCCGCACTAGTATGCAGTCACAGCCACGTGTGGTTATGAGCACTAAAAATGTGGCCAGTGAGAATAAGAAAGCGAATTTTTAAAAATTTTGGTCATCTCATAGTTTAAGAGGCAGTACCAAGTAATGGTCAGAATGTAGATTTGAGAATCAGACAGCTTGGTTTCAAACCCTAGCTCTGCCACTAGCAACATCACTGAGAAAGTACTTTATGCCTGAGTGTCCTCATCTGATACGTTCTAACAAAAGTGTGCACTCACATGACCACCCCACTCAAATCTACAAAACATTTACCTAATTCTATAAGTCTCTCCTTCCCTGGATATTTAAAGTAAAGTAAAAAATTTTACTTTAAATATCCACGTGTCTAGTGGCTACCGCACTGAACAAAGCTCTAAGTTTATGGTACCAACTACACTATGTCTTGCATTCCCTGGCCATCTAAACAGCCAATATGAGGTCTATGACGTCCTCACATACAAACATCCTGCACTTTTTCCCAAGACCCCCTTCTCTATCTCTACTAATTACACGAGCAAACATGCCATTTTCTTTCCATCTTCTGGTCCAAAGAATATGTCATTCTCTCTGCCAAAACTGCACCCCCCTCTTTCCAAACCTCTACCTAATTTTGACTCATTTTTCAAGTAGCAGCTAAAATGTCTTTCTCCAAAGGCCTTCCCTGATCCTCCGAAATCTAGATTAGGTTCTTCTCGTTCTTCTGCTCTCTCACTTGAAACTTACTTTCTTGCTAACATTCTCATAAATTGTAGTCAGTTTCTCTGTTTAATGTGTTTGAGCGCAAAAACTGAGTCTATTCTGTATCCTGGTACCTAATGGAGTGGTTGGCGCACAATAAACATTTACGAGCAGGAAAAAGTACGGGAGACTGGGGCACATCCTCCGGACATTTGACCTCCGCAACCACAATTTAAAAATCCTCCTAGCCAAAACACGAGCGTCTTTGCTCCCCAAGTAAAGTTAGCCTCAACTGGACCTGGAACAAAGATGCCTCACGTCTGTCCACTGCACCTTACCCTGAAGTTGGTACATCTGGACCTACGTAACCTCCGCTTCGTACCTTCCTGAAAAGGAAAAGAGGCTGTCTCTGTGTCCTAGCGGCCGCCCGCCCGCCCGCCTGTACGTACCTTGGACACGGAGGAAGTGGCCATGGTCCCCGTGGCACCCGGGAATCCAGAAACTCGGGATTTCCCGCGCTCCCTCGCGGCAGCAGGGCAGAGGTTAATGGCTGGCTATTCGGCTTCCTGATTGGCTGGCATCACCCTCCCGGGCGGGCTTCCGGCTCGCGGAGGCTGAGCGGCAGAGGGTGGGGTGTCGCTCCTTACCGGACAGCTGGGACCCGCTTTGTAGGAGGCCAACATGGCGTGTGGCTTCCGCAGGTCTATCGCCTGTCAGGTACGGACGGGGAACTGGCAGGAGGAGGCCCCCGCACCCCGCAGCCATCTAACCGCTGTGGGCCAGTCCTCAGCGGGATGGCGGATTCTGAGAAAACCTGTTTATTTTTGCCGCCTTCTCCCCCTTGTTTGGAGATATTTCAGGTGATGACGGTAGGGCATGCCGCTCAGATCTATTTTCACGGTGAAAAGTAAACTTTGAAAAGAACTTAGTGCTTTTCCCCCAGTCCTTTCCACCCTAAAGCGTTGTGTGTTTTATCTGGGTGAAAAGTCAATGGGCCATGATTAGACCCCATAGAAGCTAATATTGACCTAGTGAAATCAGGAGGCTTCAGCTAGAAATGAATAATAAAGATTTACCCAAGGGTCTTAAGATTTGTAAACCAGAAGTACAACTATGTAACACCCAGAGTGTTCTGAAGACAGAAAAACAGGGAGTTCTTTTTTATTGTTTTTTAATACTTTTTTAAAAGATTTTATTTATTTATTTTTAGAGGGGAAGGGAAGGAGAGAGGGAGAGGAATATCAATGTATTTGTGCGTCCCCTGCTGGGAAGTGACCTGCAACCCAGGCATGTGCCCTGGGAATGGAACTGTGATCTTTTGGTTCGCGGGCCCCAGCTCAATCCACTGAGCTGCACAAGCCAGGCTAGGCAGTTCTTAAAGTATTGGGTTAGCCAAACAGTCTGTTGTTTTTCCCAAACAATGGCTCTGATAGTGCTTAGTTGTCCTTAATCTCATTCAAAACAATTTTGTTAGGTTGTATTGTGACAGCTGTGGTATCAGCCAGTGTGCATAAAAAAAATCTTATCAAAATTGGTGAATTTCTGTGTAGCCATTTTAATATTGAAGATGGATGAAAATATGCAATGTTTTTGGCATATTATGCTTTATTATTTTAAGTAGAAACGCAGCTGAAATGCAAAAAGATTTGTGCTGTGTGTGTAGAAGGTGCTGTGACTAATCAAACATGTCAAAAGTGGTTTCCAAATTTTCTTGTTACTATTGACATTTTGGCCAAATAATTCTTTGCTGTAGGGCCATCTTATGCATTGGAAGATATTTAGCAGCACTCCTGGCCTCTACCCATTGGAAGCCAATAGTGGGAGATAAGCTGACATACTCAAAATGTCCAAATCAGTAATGTCATTGGTGAAAATGAAAAATGTGTCTTTCATTTTATTGGAAAAAAAAAAAACAATGGGATCTACCCAATAAAATGGAATCACTGTAGTCAAGCTGCTAAATTACTAAAATCAAGTAGGTTGATGTATGAGGAAACAACTCAATTATTGTTTTAACTAACCTGGAAACTTAATGGAAAATTTTAAATTTTCCAGTCCCACATTAATGTCTGGATATACACCAAACCTCCAGGTAATCCCCTAATTACTTTCTGAAGGAAAAGAATGATTTTCGTATGTCCAGACCACTGATCAGGGGTCATCAACTCCCGCCTGTTGGGAACCTAGGATTACCATCTAGGACCGATTTAGAGGATAAGAATACAACACTAATTTTCAGGAACTTTTTGGCCAACCCAGTGTTTCTTTATTCTTCAGTGTGCTTCACACTTGGTGAAGTTGGTGATGGATCTGAATTTTTATTCTAAAGGATCTAATTTGAAAAGTCAGTGGTCATTTTGGCTGCCTGCCTTAGCAATAGTTTTGATAACTCCAAAGATAACATGAGACCCTATTTTCCTTGAGTTGGAGTCATCTTCCAACACTTCTTTAATAAAGAAGAAAATAGAATATTTCAACAACCTTGCCCTCCAAATCATTTGGGAAGGTCTCTTCTGAACCCTGAAGTTTTCATTGTTACCTTACTTGCTGCCTATTTGAGTCAAAGCAAATCCAGGCTTGCACCTGAAAAAAGTCTCTGCAAATGTGGGACTGCTTGTTCATTGGCTCTTGGTGGCAAATGTCCATACCTCACTGGTTATATTAGGAAATCAGAAGTGAGGAACCAGAGGTTATTAACAGTTTAAGTAAGATCTAGAAGAGTAATTGATACCCTTTTAAGAATTTTAAGACTCGTCACCTTGCAGACTATTGTATGGATAAAAACAAGGAGCTAATTTTCATTAAGATGTCAGTTCTGCCACCTAGATGTCTGGTTACAAAAGCATAAGGATCTCTTTTGCATTAGCAAAATTAGGATTTTTATGTGATTACCAGATATTTTGAATTTGAACTTGGCTCCTAGATGAATTTAGATTTTTTTTTCTAGAGCCAGCGTGATGGGATTTTTTTGGCTTTGTGTTCAGTACCTGGCTATAAGGGACAGGAATTATTTGTGCCTGGGAAAGGGGTGGTTGAGAGCTGCCCAAATTTGATTAATTAATAAGTTTTCTCATACAGAGAGCCGAAGATTCTATTACAGTATAATCTCTGAACTTAGATTGCGAGGTCTAAGGCTTAGAATTAATTGCACCTGCTACCTTGTAAACATTTAATACATACTAGCCATTAGTATATTACACATTGGAATCTCTGGTCTAAGGTGTCCAAATCAGATCTAGAGTGCATGGATTTTTCACTTTTTTAAAAAGGATTTTATATTTATCTTTAGAAGGGAGGGGAAGGAGAGAGGGAGAGAAATAGCAATGTATGGTTGCCTCTTGTGGGTCCCCTGCTGGGAACTGGCCTGCAACCCAAGCATGTGCCCTGACTGGGAATCAAACTGTGATCCTTTGGTTCCCAGGCCCACACTCAATCCACTGAGCTACACCAACCAGGGTGATTTTCCACTTTTGATACTCCTTCAAGAAGTGCTCCCTGCCTTCAACTTGCGATTTCTTCCTCATTCAGTTGTGTTATTTAGTTTATTTCTTAAGGACTGTGATTAATATTTTGTGGTATTCTCTGTTACATTTGAGCTTTACTGTTACTCTTTCATTATTTCATCTTTTAGTATAGTATATTTCATTCTCTAAAGCTTTTTTCTGTCATCAATATGAGGCCTTAAATAGATAGTTACCAATAGGCTCTTGTTACACCTGTGGTGGCCTAGATGCAGCCCAGTGCCAGGAGTGGCCCCATTACCTGAAGGTGAAAAAAGAAAAGAAACCCTGTAGCTGAGGAAACCTATAAGCCACATAAATACAATGTTATTATTTCCAGAATAATTATGAACCTGTGAGAGAATAGGTAAATTAAAAACCATGCTCTCTGACATTTTACCACTTAACAGTAGTTCTTTTATCGTGTGTGTGTGTCCCACCTATTTGAAAGATACTTCTGTAATTAAAAGCACACATTAGCCTGGACACTGTTTGTTAACATGGAGGGCAGCTGGCATCTTCCTAAGCAGTGGTTCTCGAGGCTTAGCTGCAGACTGGAATCATCTGAGAATCATTAAAAAAAAACAAAACGCTTAAATGTAGGTCCATTGGCCCGGAGTGGGTCTTTGAAGCTCTAAAAATCATCAGGTGATTGTGATGTTCACCCAAGCTTGATAACCACTAACCAAGGATGACCAGGAGGTAGAAAGGCATGTTGCACATTACCACTGCACATTACAGTCTACCCAAGAGCTTTTTAACATCCTGTTGCTCGGTCTCACCTTGTACTAACAAAGTCAGAATATTTGCATGAGCCAGGCATCAATGTTTTCTCAAGATCTCTGGGTCATTCTAATGTGTAAAAGTATGGGAACCACTGGTGCATTAGTGATTAAGAACACTGAACATGAGGACATGTGGGTTTATGTCCAGCTTCTCTAATAGGTAAGTTCTCTCTCCATCATTCATAAAATCTGGAAAATTATTTAGCTACTTTATAGGTTTCAGTAGGATTTAATGAATTAATATGTATATAGTACTTATGATTGTTTTGGTGCATTGTATACACTCAATAAATATTGTTCATTATTATATTAAATTAAAATGCTGAGGATGTTATTTTGAACCCCCTTTCTGCACCACTACCATCCCAAAGGCTTTCTGATGTGGGGAACATAGTTACACATTTACCCTCAGTGAATGCTTTTCGTCCCATATGAAGCTAGATCACCAGAAAGCTACAATACATATCTGAACCTTACTTAATTTTCAGTGGGAATTCCTTAGTAGTACTTTTATAAAGTTGTGCTTTTGTATAGAAAAAAATCTTTTACATTTTTGCAAAAATAATGCTTGTTCATTGTTAAGAACTTAGTAATACAAAAGAATTTAAACTTCCCTGTAAATAATCATCATTAACAGGTTGACCAGAATTTTAGATATATTTCTTTGCAGGTATACAGACAAGAAAAAAGAAGGAAGGAAGATAGAAAAGCATATCTATCCACACAACTGGATAGATATGCTTTTTATAAAATTGGACTGCATTATAATGGGTTTTTATTTTTAATTTAGGTTTGTTTGCTTTTTTTTAAGTTTTATGATGAAAAACCTCCAACTACTAAAAGTGTAATAATGTTAGGATTCCCCATGTATCATCCATAACTTAAATGCTGTTTTACAGAAAAAAGTGTTAAACATAGTTTTGCTTGAATATAATGAAAGAAAAAGAAACCAAATTGCAATGCAAAGAATTATTGATGTATTTCCTAAACGAGTCCTCTGCAGTTAAAAGATTATGCAGATTGTTACAACTTGGAGTGTTTCTTTAAAATCTTGATGTTTCAAATTTAGACAGTATCAACCCATGGCAGATAGGAAGACTTTAGAATTTATCTGGGTAACTTTCTCACTCAAAGTTTGTAACACTCATAGTCTGTTTATTAACCTATCTGCACACCTAACTTTTCTCCTGTTCATTTTATATTAAATTGAATAGACGCTTACTGCCAGTGCTTTTCCTAGTATGTGGCTTGAGTGGCTGGATTTCTTTATAGATTTTTTAAAGCAACCACTCCCACGCACGAGAACCGCACACAACAAACAAAAACCCCTCTCCCCCCCCCCCAAAAAAAAAAAAGGGTTCATGCTGCTTTATTTTTTAACTACTTTTTTTAAAAGAAATTTATGACTTCTCAGATAAAATAACCCTGGATGTTTCAAAAGGAGACTTCCTTAATCACTAGAAAATTAGCATGTTTAGAAATGATATCAAAATAGATTTAGAAAATAATAAAAAAATCTTTACTTTAGAAATAAAAACAACAACTGAGCAGGTGAAACAAACATACCAGTCTGCAACTTCTCTAGTGGATGAATCTAGTCCTGTATAGTATTATTGCTAAATTATTTGCTTTAACCAGTTCACGTTCTTTGTGATTAGGTAACAAGGCTATACAAGTGCATTTTTTTCACCTCTGGATTTTTTCATTTAAAGTTATCCAGATGTAGTTCAGCATTAATTTTCTGTTACATTTTTCTGACAGTAGTTTACTTTGATCTGTATATTCAGTTTGTTTCTTTTTTAATGAAATATTGAATCATGAAGAATATAATTTTCATGTACCCATTACTAATTGGTATGCATTCATAGCTTGTAAGTGACATGCACAGATACAGCAAACACAAAACCTCATATATGAGAAAAGAGAATTTGCAGGGATGATTAACCAGGAGATTTTAATAATATTTGCACAAATTTATTTTTCAGTTATTGAATTGTATATAAGTGGTCATCAAACTGTAATTATCCTTCTGCAACTTGGAGTTTTGTTTGTTTGCCTCAATTTTTAAAAAAAGATCTATAATGATGCATGGAGGTTTAGTTCTTTCAGTTTACTGCTGAGTGTCATGTCATTGACTTAACATACTACAGTTTAGATTTGGTTCTTACTTCAGGGTTTTTTCTTTTGTTGAATATGATGCCCTATTACCCCCCCATCACTTGGTCACACCTGTGATTCCAGCTACCACTTGTGCAAACAGTTTCACATGTGCTTCAATTCACTCACTGCTCACAGCATCCCGTTCAATCTGAAAGCCTGCTGGTCCCTGCCCATTTTCAGCTCAAATGTGCCTGAGTTAATATCAAGCACAGCCCCCAGTCACTGGGGGATAGAAGCTCCTATTTTGGGATAGACAATCTTGATAGACACTGTGTATACTTCTTAGGAGGTAGTAGCGGAAATTAAGCCCCCAGTGCCTATAGCAGTGACCTTGATAGCACAATCCTGTGTTAACTTTTTCTGCTTTCTTTTACTCTCCCCAGTCATCACTTCTGCCCTTAGGAGTCACCTTCCAAATGAACTACCTGCATATAATCCTTTTCTCAGGACCTGCTTTAGAAGGAACCAAGATATATATCTACAAATACTTTTAATTTTGGGGGGGAGTAGATGATTTATCTCTATGGCTTCATATGAGTGAAACCAAGTTAGGATGCCCTCTGTTAAAAATAAAGCTGTTCTACTTTGCTTCAGAATGTTTTATATCTTTCTTTGGCTATCACTTTTTGAAGAGTGGCTTTGGACTTTGTCTCTATCCTTATGTATTTGCTGCTGGCAAACCAGTGTATCCATCTTCCTCTTGCTTCTTTGCTGCTCTTTTTATATTTTAGGGACACCAAGTATCCTAAGGTTGGGTTATCTTTATGCAGTTGTTTTATCTTTCTCTGGTTACTTTATGTTTTTATAACAACTGTATTCTCTAATTATTTTAGAACTTGTGTCATATTTTTATTTTTAATTATGACTGTTTTCTTCCTTTGTTTCTTAATCATTCTGTATTAAAATGTTTTATCAATTTATTTAATTTTTAGACTTCCTTTTTATCTCATTCTGTTTGTCTTGTCTTTTAGTTCTTGTTTATTGTATTTACAAATGTTGAAGCACTTATGAAGAATGTCTGTGTCTTCATTAGGTTATATTTTTCTTCTAGATAAGAGTTCTTTGGTCTCCTGTATACCACATTCCTTCTCTTTTTCTTCCCCTCTTCAATAAGAGTGTGTGCTTGAGCGCTCTCCCCTCCCCCTCCCCCCCCTTAGCCTGTTCGCGATGCTTATTCTTTTTCCTCTTGCTCAGGCTTGTGAGCTCTACCCAAATTTTGTATTTTTTCCTGCATTGTGCAGGTGATTTCCTCACTCTCCATTTCAGATTTGTTCTAGGTGCACCTCACTTCTGTGGTTATAAAAATATAAACTCTGCAGCTCTGCATTCCTCTTTTGTCTCTCCAGTAGGCCGTGGTGAACTGTACATAGATTCCTGAACTCTGACTTGGCATATTAGATTTTTGCTACCCAGCCCTGATATTTTTCCATCTTTGCATGGAAGTTCCTCCTCTGATTCTCACTGCACATGCAACACCAAATCAAAATTTATTTCCTGTAATTGGGGAATGTACGAGTGTTGTGTTTCCACTGGGGAGGCTCTCAGTGTGCTGTCCTGGAATCTTCACTTCTGCTTAAAGGTGCTGGAATTCATTTCTCTTTTTACTAATTCTCTCCCAAAGCTCTGTAGCATCTCCTATTCATAACGAGAGGAATACCTTTAGATTTGGGGTATTAGTGAGGGTTGTCAATTCAAGTTAGGAGCATAGCCAAACAGGCTACATCCATTCCTCTTCAGAATATGCTATATCCTTCCTTGGCTATCACTTCCGAAGTTTATATCTTTGGACTCTGCCTATCTAGTGTATTTGCTGATGGAGAACCAGACTTCCTATGTACTTAAAAGTCAACATATACTAGATCAAAGCAGAAATGAACACAGCATCTTAAAAATACATGACAGCTCTTCCAGGTCTGCAAGTTTCAACTTTTTTTTTTTAACGTTTGTGAAATTTAACAAAGTTTTTTTTACAATTTCAGAGTAATGTTACTAGTCAGGAGACAGTGGTTTTAGTTTTACTCCTATTAGGAATCATTACAAACAACTCTGAAGATTTCTTTTCACATTCTTTTCCTGTTTACCTCATTTCTCCTTTGTCTTCTCCCTCAACAGCCATGGTTTGTCCATTGCAAAGGCTTCATGAAAATTGAGAATGCGGGGAAGAAAGATGAAAACAGTTTTAATTTCACTATGGCTGTACTGCTATTTCACTGTTTTTAATAATTTCTCATTGAAAGGATGTAGGTATGACACGGAGGTTTAGTGTAGGTTCATGTTTTAGATTGCTTGTGTTCACATTCGGACTTTTCCACTGAAGCCAGTTACATAAATTCTTGTATTTCATTTTCATCATTCATGAGATAAAGTATAATAGTGTGAAAGTCATGGGATTATTCCAAGGAAAAATTAAGGCATGTAAGATGTGCCTGTCATGTAAGAATGAGTCAATAAAGGGGATTGACTAGGACAGTAGTTTGCAACTCTGGCTGGGTAACCATGCATTTCAGTCATTCGAGGAGCTTTTCAAAAATACAAATATCCCCACCCTTGCTGTTCTGCTAAACCTTTAATAGGGCCTGGGGATCAGATTTTCCTCTCAATATTTGTTTGCTTGCTTGTATATATTTAAGTGCCATGAGATTTTTGTCTCTTGTTCATTGCCGTATCCCCAATTCCTAGAACAGGGTCTGGCACAAAATGGGTACTCAATTAAATACTTTATGAGTAAATAAAATGAATTACATTTGGTTCCTCCATGGTTTATCTCCTTTTTAAAAATAACATATTTTAAAATACACATAAAAAATTCATTTTGGGGAAGAGAGAACAATTATGTGTGTTTCTTATCATCAAACCCTCTCACTCTCAATCTCTGACAACCACTGGTCTGTTCATCCTTACAGTTTGGGGTTTTCCAGAATTTTAAATAAATCGAATCTTAATGTATGTAGCCTTTTGAATGACTTTTATCACTCAGCATAGTGCATTTGAGGTTCATTTAGTTACGTGTCTCAATATCCCTTTTACTGCTGAGTAGTATTCCATTGAATCTGGAACAAATATATTAATAATTATGCCCCGTTTTGTTTTTCTCTATTTTTAGCTTTCCAGAGTATTGGATCTTCCACCAGAAAACTTGATCAAGTCAATATCTGCTGTTCCAATTTCCAGAAAAGAGTTAAGTATATTTGTAACAATTTAAAATGTTGCTGACTCTGTAAATATACAAAAAAAAAGTGATCCTTCAATTTACAGAGTAGTCCTTGAAATTAACCATAGTAGTATGCTTGTGTTGTTTTGATATTTATTTATGCTGTTAACTATAATTATGGCAAAGTCTTAAAGAAGAATGAAGAATGGGGTTCAGATTTCATTCTGTAATAGCAAATAAAAGAACTAAGTTTGGTGTTGAAAGGTTTTTAGAGATTATACACCTATCTGTTGCTTGAATGCCATTGTGCAATATTTACCTGCTAGGGTTTTTTGGGGCAGGGGGTATTTGTTTTTTATTTGTGGGTTCTTTTCTTGTCTCCATTTGAGTACTCTCAATGATACAGAGAACTATTGGTTAAGACTACATGCAACCAATAGTTGCCTTGCTGGATGCAGGGACATATCTATCTCTTTGTGACTTTGGTCATTCTAAATGATAAGTGTTTATTATTTGGCTAGAAAACTGTAACATTTGGATAAAATACTCTCTGAGTCAATTAATAATGACAAGAAATTAACTGTATAGTAAGCATTTAAGCCCTAAGCTTCAGAAAAATATAAAGATATAACCATCACTATCATATGTCCTTATGTTTTATCCCCTTTGACAGGATTTTAAATAAGAGTAGGATAAATATTCTTGCTCCCAGAATAGGACAAAGAGATAAGTGAAAAAAGAAAAGAAAGCTACACATGGCATTATAAAAAGAGAGCATCTTAAAAGTGGCCTCCTACAACTTCCTCCATATTGAACTCTAAGAACAAGGCAACCACTGAGCTAAGACAACTTATAATTATATATAAATTGATGTGCTATTCTAAACTGATTACCTATTTCATAAAAACTATAAATGACATTCTGCCTAATCATGGGATTATCTCTGTTTTTCTCTTATGTTTCAAAGGCCTTTAATAAACTGATCTGCCTTGGACCATCTTTTGAATAAGATTCGTTTACCTGCCTGGAGCTCCTTTTGGTAGCTGCATTTAAACAATCTGAAATACTAAAACTGTGGTTAATAGAAAATAAATATTGAAGAGGACCTAAATTTTTCTAGGCTACAAGTCTAAAATTCTACATATTACATTTAAACATATTATTTAAAACAAATGCTTTGTCATAACTCAACTGTCTTTTGGAGTACTAAAACCGAGCCTAACTTGTTCCGTATTTCTAACTTTATTCTAAAATGCTCTTAAGTACCAGGAGATTAAGAAATGATGTTTTTGTTACTGTAGCTAATTAAATGAGGTATGAGTCAATTTGCTTAGGTCTCCTAATTCAGTTGTATTTTCAGCTATGGTAGAACTTCTGTTAGGACTGATCATAGTAGAGAGGATTAGTAATTGTTACAAGCCAGTAGTGCTCAAGTCCAGGGATTTCACTCTAGTATAATAGCAGCAGCTCCTCAGAAGTAGTGCGAAAGTAGCTGTTGCTTTCTAAACTATTTTAAACTTAAACATCAACTTATTAATATTTAGTAATATTAAGTTATTAATACTAATTTAATTACATTTATTAAATATTAAATTAGAAGAAATAGATTAATGACCCCTATGTACCTATCAATCACTGTCATTGATACATAGTCAGTTTTGTTTCTAAATGGAAACATTTAGAATGTTTTCAGTTCTGACTTTTTATGTAATTCACATTCAAAATTACATCTTTAAATAGAGCAAAAAGTTCTTTGTAGGTATATAATTGGAAGCTCCAAAATGAAACAAAGAACTGGCCATGTGCCAATGACAGTAAATACCCCTACCCACTCTCCTGCTTCACAGTGGCTTATTTTGACAGCTACTGCTTTTCATAGTCTAGATGTTATGTCTTTTTAAAGGTTTTTTTAAATTAATTTGTTTTTCTATCCCAAAAGCAAAACATAGTTTTAAGGAAATGTAGGAAAATATAGAAGTATAAGAAGAGAAAAAAAATTCCCATTAGTCTTACTGTGTTAAGATATCTGGTATTAGCAAGTTGGTATATTTTCACATTTTCTCTTTGAACGTATCTGGCAGCCTTTAAGAAAACATAGTTATAAAACTACTGTATGTATGATTCTTTAATCCTTTCCTTTGACATTCTTTTTTTTTTTTATAAGTATCACGTTTAACGATGGCTAAATAATACTGTAATGCTCCCCAGCTGATATATATTTGGAATGTTTTCAGATCTGACTTTTCACATTTAAGAATTACATCTTTAAGCCCTGGCTGGTGTAGCTCAGTGGATTGAGGGCCTGCGAACCAGACAATCACGGTTTGATTCCCAGTCAGGGCACATGCCTGGGTTGCATATCTGTTCCCTGCAGGCCAGTTCCCAGCAGGAGATGCACAAAAGGCAACCATACATTGATGTTTCTCTCCCTCTCTCCTTCCCTTCCCGTCTGAAGATAAATAAATAAAATCTTTAAAAAAAAAAAAAGATGATAAAGATAAAATTCTAAATAAATATACAAGGTTATTATATTTCTAATTTCTTTGCTTTATATATTGAAAGTGTAACAACCTTTTTCTTATAAAATTGTGTCAGTGTGGAGAACCCATATTGATTAGTCCCTTTTTTGGTCATACTAGTAATATTTGTAGAGTAATAACAATATTTTCCTATTTCAATGTCCGTCTTTAGAGAAATAGCTGATTTTCAGCTTTCTGTGAATTCTCTGTTGGAGAACAATGACCATTCAAGACCAGATATTCATGTTCAAGCTACAAGACTGGCAGAAAAGGTACTTTAGGACTATTACTTTTTTGACTTTGTAATACACTTATTCTTTTAAAGAAAAAATACTCAAGTTATCTCAGCGATAATACTGAATTAATGTTACTATGTTAAAGGCACCTTGGAAAATGTCACTTCATTTTACCCGTATACTATAAGATTAGGGTGATTTTTCAATTTAGTTATAGACCATTCCTTTTGAGCTGACAGTGTTCAATTTTTTGTTTAACTGCTTACAGGAGGACTGAAGTGATAATTAAAATTTCATGTTGAAGCTGGATGGACTTTGAAATTTAGGAGAACAAGGTTGATAAATTAGAGCAGTGGGTTGCACTTTTTAGAATGAGTTTCTGAGAAGATGATCATTAAAATATGAGAAGAAATGATTTGATGGAAATAGAATCATGGTTGTAGAGAGAAAGCAGTTAGATGATTTAATAAACCTCTTTAATTTCTAATTTTTCTGTTAAGTTTGGTATCTAAAGGGGTAATAGAATTGTAGACAATGACCAAATTGTTAGTGTAATGCCATCAGAAAAGGCAGGTGTTGGACAAGGTGTTTTTTTTTAAATAAGGTTATTATATGTGATACAAAAGAGGTGTCTGGGTACCCTATAGAACTAGAATAGTAAAAGTCATTATCACAGAAAACAATGTTTGAAAAATGAGAATGATAAAGGATATTTGGTAGTTGAGTAAATATTTATTTGATCAAGAACCATCCCAGGTTTTTATCATGAATTATACCAGGAATAGAACCATTCTGATTACAATATTTAGTCTTAAAAACTACTGGCTTTTCATTGACAACAGGTATTCCTTCAACTTCCATGGGTATATTAGGTGCTTTTGAATAGTCGGTTAAAATTTTAAGGCATACTCATTGAATACCAATTATACTTTATGTGTTGGTACAAGTGATTTAGCATAGGCCCTGACAGAATGGCATGTTCTGTGGCCCTCTTGAAAGGTGGGTGAAATAAAAAAAGTTCAGTGCCCACCCAGGTACGTAAGGTGGGCGTAAAGTGGTGCTCTCGTTCTTCCATGTCAGATGGAGAATTCAAGGTGAGAGAATGAGAAGAGGGAGAGATTCAAAATACAGAATACTGTTGTCGTCGGGAAAAGAAGAAAACGTGTTTACCCAAGTAGAATGATTACCTTAAAGGACTAGCTTAAGGCCCAGGTTCAGATATAATGACTGAGAGAAATGACCCGCCTGCTGCCTTTGGACAGTTGAAAATCTGATAGTTTTAGAACTACCACTCTTGTTAGGCTTATTTTATAACATACCTGTTTTACTTCATTTGTTGTCTTTTCAGCTAAAATGTGACACAGTGGTGAGTGAAATCAGCACTGGTCAAGGGACTATAAATTTCAAAATAAATAGAGAACTATTAACAAAGGTAAGAATGGGTTATTATAGCTCTTGCATCTTTACACACTGCTTTAGCTACAGTGGTTTCCTTAACTTACTGTGCCTCCTCTTGCCTCAAAGCTTTTGCGTATTCTAATGCCTCTGCCTGGAGTGCCACCTCATGTTAACTTCTACTTATCTTTCAGATCTTAATATTCCTGGCAGTGGCTTTCTGACCCCTCCATTTATACACTCTCATAGCACTGTATCGCTCTCCTTGAAACACTTACCAGAGTTTCTATTTCACATTCTTTGTATTTGATTAATGCCTGTTGTCCTTTAAACTCTAATTTCCATTAGGGCTTATAGTTTCTGTTTTTCTAACTCACTACTGGATCTTTAGTTCCTAGCATAAGCCTGGCAAGTGGTAGGTGTGAGGTAACTATTGAATGAATTAATGGACTCTGTATTGAATGTAAGAAAGTACTGCTGGTTTCTGCTCTCTGGTAGCCTATAATCTGTTGGAAGCATAACATTTACAGGACATATATCTTACAAATTTATAATACAGCTCCTTTTAATAAGATGATACTAAAGATGATTGGTACAATAAGCATAAGAAAAATAAATCAAAGGCGGAAAAATCAGGATGTCCTAGAGGATTTGGGGAAATCACATAAAGGAATTGAGTCTCACATGAGTGAGATCATGGAGGACGTGTAATCCTGGATAGCTGTGATATGAGGCCTTTTTGTTAAGAGTTTCATCTCAATGAAACTTTAAAATTTACCTTAATGCATGCTTTGGTGTATTATTAAAAACAGTATACACCAGTATTGAGTTGGTCAGACTTTGTAAATGCTGCCTCTTGAAAACAATTATAAAACCAAAATTTCTAATATATTTTTTCACTGAAGGAGAGATACTATCTCAATACTTTAGCTTTTTTCTTTTTCCACTCTTACTTCAAAGTAGTTAACTAAAAATCAGTTACAAGGAAAAGAAATTTTTTTGAGCTTTTTAAACAGTGTCTACAAAAGCATACTGGGCTCTTGATAACATTTCATGTCAATTCAGCAAACCAGCCCTGGCTGGTGTGGCTCAGTGGATTGATCGCCAGTCTGTAAACCAGTTGGATTTCCAGTCAGAACACACAGCTGGTTGTGGGCCAGGTACTGGGTTGGGAGCATGCAAGAAGGAACTGGTTGATGTTTCCCTCTCTTTTTCCCTCCCTTCCCCCCTCTCTAAAAAACAAATAGCATCTTTAAAAAAATATTAGCAAACCATGAGTCTAATTTACTATTTTTAAGTAAGTGACCCTTCCAGTTGTTGTCTTAATTTTATTGAAGTAGATATGCAACTCACCAAAGTGTCCATCAAACTTTAGGCCGTTTGATAGGCATCATTATTGTACTGTTTTTGTTTTTTTCTAATATGCAAATATGTGCTATGGTAGATAGAGTTTGCCTTTAAAAAAGATTATTTTGTTGTTTTTCAGTTACAGTCGTCTGCCTTTTCTCCCCACCCGCTCCAAACCCACCTCCCTCCCTTGCTTCCACCCTCCCTGTTGGTTTTGTCCATGTGTCCTTTATAGTAGTTAGAGTTTGCTTTTATAGCCAGCTTACCTAACAGAGTTGTAGTTTTTATTTTAAGTCACAATATAGACCGTACTTTGTTGTGTATAATATGCACGGTTTTGCCCAATTTTTTGAGGGAAAAATAGGGTTACCTATTATACATGGGTAGTATCCGAAATACCTTGTGTTTCTTATGTTTGTAATTCTTACATAAAATTTCTTGTACTATAATATGTCCAAAAATAAATGCTGAAATTTCTTTGTAATATAAGAAACAACTACCTAAGTTTAAATAAATAAATAATTGAATTTAAAAATTAAAACAAAATAATTTTTTCTCATAGTTTGCACCACAAATGTGAATGTACATTATACACAGGAAAATACAGTATTTACCTAATAATTTCCACATTTCATAGCCATGAATTTTCATGCTTTATTACAATTAACAAACAGATTTTCACTGGCTTAAGGAGCCTACTTGCTATTTAAAATATTCCCAAATCCTTCTCCATTGACAACAGAGAGAATAACAGTTAGGGCTTTCAGGTCCAGCTACTCTTCCTCACATAGAAATTCTCCCTTCACTGTGGCCTAGAGGATCCGGATTAGTGTGGTTTTTGTTAAAGGAACAAGCTCATTGTTCACAGTAGCTTAGCAGTGAATGAACACACATAGTCTAAAGAGGGTATTGAAAGTGTGCTATAAATTATGATGTTTTTAAAATATATTTTATTATGCTATTACAGTTGTCCCAATATTTTACCCATTTGCCCCCTCCACCCAGTTAACCCCCTTCCCTCCAGCAATACCCCCCTCAGTTCATGTCCATGAGTCATGCATTTAAGTTCATTGGCTTCTCCATTTCCTATACTATTCTTGACATCACCCTATTTTGTACCCACCAAATTTATTTCCTAATCCCTGCACTTTTTCCCCCATTCTCCCCCTTTCCCCTCGCCCCAACTGATAAACCTCCAAATGATCTCCGTATCTGTGATTCTATACCCGTTTTGGTTGTTTGCTTAGTTTGTTTTTTTGGATTCAGTTGTTGATAGTTGTGAATTTATTGCTCTTTTAATGTTCATAGATTTGATCTTTTCTTTTTCTAAGTAAGTCCCTTTATTATCTCACATAATTATGGTTTGGTGATGATGAATTCCTTTACCATTACCTTATCTGGGAAGCACTTTATCTGCCCTTTAATTCTAAATGATAGCTTTGCTGGACAGAGTAATGTAGGTTGTAGGTCCTTGCTTTTCATCACTTTGAATATGTCTTGCCAGTCCTTTCTAGCCTGCAAAATTTCTTTTGAGAAATCAGCTGATGGTCTTAGGGGAACTCGTTTATAGGTAACTCTGCTTCTCTCTTGCTGCTTTTAAGATTCTCTCTTTATCTTTAATCTTTGGCACTTTAATTATGATGTGTCTTGGTGTGTTCCTCTTTGGGTCCAACTTGTTTGGGACTCTGTGCTTCCTGGACTTATGTGTATTTCCTTTGCCAAATTAAGGAAGTTTTCTTTCATTATTTTTTCAAAATAAGTTTTCGATTTCTTGCTCCTCCACTTCTCCTTCTGGCACCCTGATGATTCGGATGTTGGCTCATTTAAAGTTGTCCCAGAGGTTCCTAAACCTATCCTCAATATTTTTTTAATTCTTTTTTGTTCCTGCTGTACTGATTGAATGCTTTTTCCTTCCTTGTGTTCCAAATCATTGATCTGATTCTGGTTTCATCCTCTCAACTATTGGTTCCCTGTAGATTTTTCTTTATTTTACTTACTGTAACCTTCATTTCTTTCCTTATGTCTTTGCTGTACTCAGTGAGTTCTTCGAGCATCCTGAACACCAGTGTTTTGAACTCTGCATCTGATAGATTAGTTATCTCCATTTTGTTTAGTTCTTTTTCTGGGGGTTTGTTCTGTTCTTTCCTGTGGGCCATATTTCTTTGTCTCCTCAGTTTGGCAGCCTTGCTGTGTTTATTTCTGTGTATTAGGTAGAGCTGCTTTGACTCACTGTAAAATGTACCTGTACATTGTGTAGAGCCTTAGGTAGAGCCTTAGGTAATCATGAGAGCGGGGCAACCTGCTTCACCACTCTGTAACTCTCTGTGAGGGGAGGGTTAGAGAGGGGATAATGCCACTGCCTCGCTTCTAGAGGTTTGCCAGCTCTCTCCTTGTTTCCAGTCATTTCACCCACTTTCTATATGCAACTGCCGGCCTTCCAACTGTAGCCCTGGTGGTGAATCAAGGAGTGGGTGGGTTTGCATTCGTTCTAGGACCATTCAGGCCCTTTAAATGAACTCTCCTGAAATTCTAGCAGGTTCTTCCGCTGCCCCAGCCCCCACTGATTTTTACATCCAGAAGTTATGGGGATTTACCTTTTTAGCACTGAAACCCTGGGCCTTGTGTTCTGGCTTGGAGCTAGGATCACTCACTCCCAAGGTATCTGTCCCAATTTTTATCCACCACATATGAATGTGGGATCACCCAACCTGCCACTGCCGCCACCTCTCCATGCCACACTGCCTCTCCACCCATCTCAGCGCTCCACCCCTCCTACCCATCTGGATGAATGTGGTTTCTTTAAATCCTTAATTGTAGGACTTCCATACAGCTCAATTTTCTGGCAGTTCTAATTGTTATTTGTTGTGAGAAATAAGAGAAATACTTGTAATTCTCTCTGTGATCGCATGAAGGAGGTGAAGTGTGTCTCCTACACCTCCATCTTACTGGAAGTCATAAATTATAATTTTTTAATGATAATTCTTTTTTGCTTAAAGTCTGATTTCTTCTACATCTGGGTCTATTATTTCTGGCCTTAAATAGTGATCATTTGTATGCCTAATGAATTTTTCAGGTCATATCAAGAAAAATATTCAGCTCTTTTGGGACCATTAAAAATCCTTTTTTTGTTGTTTATATTTTAAAGTTATCAGGATTGACATATAGCCAGTGATTTATCTCCAAAACTTACTCCTCAAAAAGAGAATTATTAATTTGTCATCACTTATACATGCACAAACTTAGCCTGCATGAAATGTTACCTGTTCCTGGATTGCAGTTGAGTTATTAGCTCTGCAAGCACCAAGGATGATTAAATGTTAGCTTAAGTTTGGATCATTAATAGTGGCTTACAATCTCTTCATGAGTCATTCTCAAAGGTAGGAGGCTAAACTGTAAATTAGATGCAATAGAAACTGCCAGATCTGTGGGACTAGATCATAAAATTTCAAAGCTAGAAGATGGTATGATCAGTTCATACATTGTGAAGAACTGTCACTTTGGTACCAGACTTTCACATGTTAGTAGCTTATGGATGACTTTCAAAAGAAATTACCTTCAAGTAATAATAATTTCATACTGGGGGGAAAATTAGCTAGGAGATTAGCTAGGAAATAATCCTGTTTTTTATGTATGCCTTAGAAGTACCCAGTGGATAACATCACTTTTATTTCACATATATACATGCATTTTTTCATTTGCCAAATTCAATTTTGCATGCTCTAAGACTTAAGAAAAAAGAGATACTGATTTAAATGGTTCTAATTTTGGTCATCATTTTACTAATTAAGTTTATGTTAGTAGGCAGTCAGGATGCATTCAAGTAATGTGTAGTGCCAGTTGGTTGAACGCAAGGAAAGAATGAATAATTAAGTACGTTTCCACTATTGACCAAAGAATTGACTAGACAAATAGGTAGTAGTAACTCACTTAGAAGTCCTGTTGAGAGCTGGAGAAAAATAGCAACCAATGAAGAGTTAGGTAAAATGACAAAAGTCATCCACAGAAAGGTGATGGTGATAGATAAACGAGTGCTAGCCAATTAGAATATTTGTTAAAGCACTCCAAAAAGTGAAAACTTTGATAGATTTATTTTCTGATTATATATTCATTATGCACCTATATTTACATTACCGAGTACCTCTTACATTTAGGCATGTTGATGAATATGGGTGTCTAGCTTGTTCATCTATTGGAATGAGGGAATTTACTAGCTCATTGCCAGTCTAGAGTTAATAGCTTTCTTTTATGTGCCCATTAATTTAATAAACTTTCTGCTTATTATTTACCAGGGACTATATTACTGAAATCTAAAGATAGTTCCTGCCCTTAAGGAACTTATGATCAAAAATAGAAGCATAAAAAATCATGTAAAGTGTGATGGGTATGATAATATGATAACTAATATAATGGAGGCATGTTTAACGTTGCAATCCAGTGTAAAGAAAGTTGCACTTAAGTCTGTCTTGAGGCAAGAAGAATAACCTTGAATTGAGATAAAGATAAAGAAGAATTTACCTGGGGGATACAAGAGCTGGCAGAGAGGACAGCTTGGGCCAGAGTACAGACAGTCAAAAACATGCCATGGTCTGGAAATCAGCTAGTATGCTTTGAGTATGCGTTGCATATAGGATAGTATGGGGAAGATATGAAATTACACACCGTGAAGAGCCTTATGTGCTCTGCATAAAGAGTTTTAGCATTTTCCCGTGTCTACCACAGCTAGATATGATAATTTTTGGTATTACACTAATAAAGTTTCATTTTATCACTATCAACTTCACTATACTTTAATAGTTATACAATTGACTCTTGAACAACACAGGTTTGAACTGCATGGATCCACTTATACATGGATTTTTTTCAATAAATAACTGTAAATCTATTTTCTCTTCCTGATGATTTTTTAAATATGTTTTTCTCTAGATTACTTTATTGTAAGAATACAGTATATAGTATATATAACATACAAAAATGTGTTAATAGACTGTTTATCAGTGAGGCTTCCTGTTAACAGTAGGCTATTAGTAGTTTTGGGGGAGTCAAAAATTCTACATGGGTTTTCAACTGCACTGGGGCTCAGTGCTCCTAACCCCTACACTCTTCAAGGGCCAACTGTGTATTTATATGTACATTATAGGAAGATAGGTGTTATTGCTTTGTAGTGGTTGTTTTGTAGTGGTATAGCTGACATATGATGAGGCAGAGGGTACAACTACAATGATATTTGGGAGATAGCACATTAGCTGGGCTTGGTGATTAATATCTGATTGGTTGTGGATATGAGGGAGGGAAAGGGGTAATCTTAGGAACTCCTTCTTGTGTTTTAGACTTGATTAGTTGGGGGTAAAGTTCACAGAAATGGAGAATGCAGAAGGAGGAGACATGTTAGGTTGGCCAAAAAGTTGGTTTGGTTATTTCCGTAAGAGCACTCTGATAACACTTAGTTGTCTTTAACTTCATTTGAAACAGTTTCATTAGATTATACTGTAATTGCTGTCCTATCGGCACACATGAAAAACAAAACTTATCAAAATTGATGAATTTTTGTGCAGCCATTTTAATATTGAAGATGGAAGAAAATACACATTTTCAGCATATTATGCTTTATTATTTGAAAAAAGGTAAAACAGCTGAAATTTTTTAAAAAGATGTGTGCAGTGTATGAAGAAGGTGCTGTGACTTATCAAACATGTCAAAGGTGGTTTGCAAAGTTTCATATACATCAGTTAAAGTTGATAGTGATAAAATCAAGACATTGAAAATGATGAATGTGGGAGATAGCCAATATACTCAAAATTTCCAAATCAATAAAGTTACTCAGGAAAATGAAAAATGTACCTTTTATTTTATGGAAAAAATGAACTTTTTGGCCAACCCAATATATTCTATTTGAAGTGCTTGAGCGAGCTGTCCAGTCCTGAGCTGAATATATCACTCTGTGGCACAGGAGATATTCTGTTAGGTAAGTAGTAGTTGAAGTCTTCACAATTTATACCTAGGAGAAGGGTCATGTAAGGACTAGAAGCAAGGAAGGAGAACAGGGTGGGAAGTGGAGGGACAGGCAGTGGTAGAGGAGCCTGCAAAGGAAACCAGGAGGCAAAAGTGAGTAGAGAGTGAGTGGTGTCGTTACAGCCAGAGAGGGAGGGTCACTGCACGAGGAGGGGAGTCTTCAGCTAAGGTGGTGAGAAGTGGGCATCCCTGGGGAAGGCGGCAAGGTACAGAGGCATCAAAAGGCACTCACTCTAGACTTGAACTTTACCTCGTTTATTTTTTTATTTTAGAAAAAGAATGTACTCATAAAAGTAATACATTAAAATGTAAGCATTCATTTAAGTTTGGCATTTAGAATTTTGACTGGAGAGCACTTTCAGTGAAATAGTAGAGAAAAAAGCTCTAGGTCACAGGGTGGGTCAAATTGTAAAAGGAATGTTTGGAAGTGAAGCATATAGGATAGTTCTTCATTAAAGTTACTTTTTTGTATTTGTGCCAGAGAAACCAATGAACTGAGTCATTTATAAAGAGCATTCTAACTTACTGCTGTATTACCATTTGTGGAGTCTACCATCCAGTACATAAAAAGGGATGGAAAGTGAAAAAGATGGATAGACTTTAACTTTAGAACAATCTGAGTATGAATTTCTTCTCACTGTTTACCTCCCCACTTGGAGCCTTCTTGTCACACATATTCTTGAAGTAATTAACATTTAATAGGCACCTAGTGTGTGACAGGCACTCTTCTCTTAGACGTCTCTGTGTTTATTAATCCTTTATCTCTGTGTCCCACTGTACGGTGTGAGTGAAGGGAATGTTTTCTCCGTGTCCTTGGGCAAAGACTTGTACATACTGTTTCTGAACTTTAGTTTTTGCAGCAGTTTGGTGGGAAATGTTGGCCACCTCTAAGATTATGATGCTTAAAGATAACATAAAAGCATCTAGACTTGAACCTAGTATCTGAAAAGTATTACTTTGATGCTTCCTGCTACCTTTCTGCCTTTTCCAATAAGTGACCATCTTAACTAACTCTTATAAGATCATAAAATTCTTCATGTCATAAACTGCATATTTAGGACTCATAATCCACTTTGAAAAATAGAAGTAAAAGTCTATCACAGTAAATTCAAAATCCTAAAATAAATCATCACCATTAGCAAAGTAAAGTATGAATTTTGTGAAGTATATAATTGTCCTTTGTTAATAACTAAAAATTAACCTGGACTATGTTTTGGTTGTTTCTGTAAAATTTCCTGGTTTTTACTTACATAGCCAATAAGCATTTGAATTCTAATTTTTTATTTGTTTTCTACCATCACTTGTGATTATTAGTGTCACAAAAGTAGCAGCAGCATGAGATAAATAGCACATAAGCTATGGAGGAAAAGCAATTACATGACTTAATAGCCATATGACCTTGGGTAAATTACTTAACCCCTCTGTGCTCCTACTTTCTCATTTGTAAAAATGATGTCTATCTCTTAAGGTTATTGTGTGGATTAAATGTGTACATACATAGGAAATGCTTAGAACAGTGCCTGACACACGGTATGGAGTCAGTAAAATATTAGATGCTGCTCCTGGTTTTGTTGTTATCAGTACTGTTTGCTATGGGACTTCTAGCAGTTACTTAGCCCCTCTAAACTTCAATTTCTTCACCTGTGAAATGCCTACATGATTAATCACTGTGCGGAGGGATAGACAGAATGTATTGTATAAAAGAGCACACAGCCCCTGTAGATAGGAACTCAAGAAGGTGGTACTGCTGACATTGCTATAAAATTCTCAGTTCCATAAATTAGAATAAGCAAATCAGCAACATTTAGTTCCCAGTAATAAAGTACTTTTAAAAATTGCAGTTCTTTTTCTATCATTAAATCTCAGCCTTTACTTTTCAGACAGTGCTAAATCAAGTAATCGAAGATGGCTCAAAATATGGATTGAAAAGTGAGCTTTTCTCTGGTCTTCCCCAGAAGAAGATTGTGGTTGAATTCAGGTGAGTGCTACTCTTATGTGTTAGTTAATCAGTTGGCTGAGCAGGTGACTCTCTTTACTATCATCATCTGAGGTATCATGAAATTACATGTGGAAAAATTGCAAACCAGTGAGATTATATTAGTTTCTTAAAATCACAGTGAATTCAATAAAAATTTTTGTACTCCAATTAAAAAAAAAGTCTAGTGATTATCATGGGCTGTTTCTTTTTTTGAATTTAAGTATTTAACAGTTACTTTTTTGGAATAACTAGTTCTTTTTAGTAAAATTTTAAAGCGGAGATAATGCTTACTATCATATTAAAATTTTTAACATAATTTGATTCCAGAGAATAACCTCGTAGTATTTGTCATGTATAATTTTTTTAATTATCAGAAAAATAGCTTGAAGTTTTAATATATCTCTAAATAGCCTTCAGAGACTATTTAGAGTCTTCATCAGTACAACTATCTAATATTTGAACTGTTTTTAAGTAACCAAAAAAAGAAAAGGAAATACTTTCAGAGCATAGCTGACAGGTTAACAGCTTGTAAAAATTATCAGAGATGTTGAATTTGCCTTCCTAAAACCTAAAGAAGAGTCTTAATGAATTTTTTTCCTCATATAGGAAGCTAGAACTTGCTAGAGCCTTTTATTTCCTTAAGTATATATTTCTGTGGAGGATTTTTTAAATTTGATATGGGAAATAGGACTGCGGGTTTTCTAACTCATTATAATTTATGAGGATAACTTAATTCAACTTAGATATGATTAACACCTGCTTAATCAGAAGTAAATGAGTTTTATGGTTTCCACATTTGTACTGCCTCTGCTGTTAATTCTGTTCTTAGAAAAAACATCCTGTAAGAATCCATAAACTCATCTGTTTATGATGAGGACTGATTGCTGACTGAACTAATGATCCTATGGAGCAGTCAGAGAATATGAATAAATATTACACTACCAGTGCACTCCAATCATGATACTTAAAAGTTAAGCTTAAACATTTGTTGTATCACAGAGAGGAGAGGGACTTCCTGTGGTCCCCCTGAGGCCACCTTCCAAAGTAACTTGCCTGTCATTTCAGTTACCTCCTCTTGCGTTATTTCAAAACTGGTATGGTTCAGTGGGTTGAGCACAGGCCTGCAAACCAAAGGATCATTTGATCAATTCCCAGTCAGAGTTCATGCCTGGATTATGGACCTGGTCCTCAGGGGCATTCAAGAGGCAGCCACACATTGATGTTTCTCTTCCTTTCTTTCTCCCTCCCTTCCCCTCTCTCTAAAAATAAATAAAATCTTTAAAAAAAAACTTAATACAAGGATTAACAATCTTCAGCTAATGGGCAAAATCCAGCCTGCCACATGTTTTAGTAAAGTTTTATTGGAACACAGGCCAGCACATTCAGTTAACATGCCTGTAGTGGCTGCTTTTATACTATAGTGACAGTTGAATAGAGTTGAGTTGAATAGTTGAGATCAGAATAGTTTAGGCTTGGCCCGCAAGCCTATAATATTTACTATCTGGCTCTTTAAGAAAAGGTTTGCCAACTCCTGGTAAGTATCTTGAAACAACCATTTTAATGTTCATGACTCCACAGATCAAGAAATCAGGGATGGTTTAGCTCACTGATTCGTTTACTTGCCTGTGGTCACTTAACGCAGCTCTGTTTATCTAGAGATTATACTGGGACTAGAAATACAGGTGGCTCATTTACTTGTATGGCTGCTCACCTGAGGGCTGGCTAGGCATCTCTGTACACATTGTCTCTCCAACAGAGTAACCAGACCTCTTTACAAAGGTGATTAGGGCTCCAAGATGGTAAACACATCTGGTCTTCAAATAGGCACAGCCTCCCTTCTGTCACATTCTGCTGCTCAAAGCAAGTCACATCAGCCCACATCCAGGGGGAGGAAAAATGCACTACATCTCTTAGTGGCAGAGATTTGTGGCCATCTTTATTTTCAGGTCTTCACATTGATGTAGGACATATCACCTTCTCTGGAGAGGCACTTCAGCACCCTATTACTCTCACAGCCTGTGCTTTTACCTAACCAGCAGCAAAGGAAAATCAGTAGGGAGGTGGTATAGTATCTGTTCCATGCATACCTCCTTAAAATCATGCCATTTTAAGCTTCTTGAAACTTGAAAAGTTGCCACCAGTGCTCATTTCTAACACCTTCTTTCTCTTTTCACTTCCCCATCTTTCCTGCCCAGCCAAGCTCAAAATACCAAAACCTTAGTTTTCCTTACTCATTTATTCTCTGGCTTTTCTCCTCAGTTTTTGTTTCCCATACAGTGTTCTTTTTTATTTATGCTTGCAAGAAATATCAAAAAATAAACTGTTTTATTCGAGTAATAGGCTTTTTCTATGGTGATTTATTTGCCTATGGATTTACCCCCTCTGCTTTTTTCCAAAGTGGTTAAGGATGGCTAGAACTTAAATGAGCATCTGAGCTGATGAAGGTAGAGTCCATTTCTGCCATTTTTGCTCTCTGTCGTGTTCCATCTGGCATTGCTGTGGGCAGACCATAGCTGTCCTCCTCCCTTGGAAGTTTTCTAGCTGCTGTGGTGCTTACCACTGTGATTTCAAAGTAGAGACAAACAGGTGGGGGATGGGGCAAAATTGATAGAAACATTGTTCTTCAATTTCTTCTGAAAATGAGAGATGTGATAGAAAAGCAAGTTTTAAATAGTGTCTCAAATAGACCAAACAGCTTTCCCCCTAAAAGCAACAGATATAATCACAGTCCTCCAAAAATTCGCCCCTTACATTGAGATGATGATGTTAATAGGTCAGGTAACTTGTTCAGGGTCATAGTTCTAACTCTGACTCTGGAACCTGCATACCTAACCTTTACTGCTTCTCTGATAACATATACATGTTTTGTCAGATTTAGGAGCAGTGTGATGAAGTACCAGAGTAGAAGACTGTCCATCATAGGTGGTGTAAAACTTGAAGATAATTACTGTTGCCTCTCTCTGCAAAGTCTGCCTTTCTTATTCATTCAGATCAAACCTGCAGGAGCAGTCAATAGTGATAGCCTTTCCTCTTCTTTCCTCAACACAGTCTTCTCCTACCCTCTTCTGTGCCCCATGCAAAGTGTTCTCACAGAACAGATTGAGGATCTCTGATTACAAAAATGAGAAACCAAAAGATGAGGGTAACCAGTTCTGACTCCTAGTAACTGATTTCACCAAATCAGTTACTAGGAGTCAGAACTGGTTACTCTCATGGTCTCTGGTCTCTGGTCTCTTACGTGAGAAATAAGAGCAATAATATTTGTCCTTTCTTATAAGATTGAGGAAATTAACATGAAATAATTTTTTACAAGCCCCAGTAAGGTGTCCAAACTATAATTCATTCACTGCTGCTACTTTGGTTGCCAGGGAGTTGAATTTGTATTTCCCATCTTACTGTTTTTCCTTCCCAATAGGAATATGGTGCCAGAGGATGGCAAGTTGATGATTTCAAGTGGCTTTTTGTTAAGGCTGAAGACCTACATAGATTCAATTCTTTTATCCCTAGAGGAAAAAAACAAAAGCTCTGTGAAAGCTTAAAAAAATAATAATATAAATACCTAAAATACTTTTGAAAAAATCAAAGATTGAAAAAGTATATTCAGTAAAAAGAAAGTCTCCTCCCCATCTCAGTTTCCTGGTTCTCTCCTTTGGGCATTCACCAGACTAGCTTTTTATTTAGCCAGCTAGAGATATTCTGTGCCTTCATAAACAGATCTCACACATTATATATTGTTTGAATCCTTGCTTTTTTCAATAGCAGAACCTCCAAGTTCTGCTGGTTTGTAGTTTTATTGTTTTGTAGTATTATTTGTTAATCTCTTTTTAAATCAGCTTTATTGAGGTATAATTACAACACAGTTCACCATATTTCAGCATATAATTTGATGAGTTTTGGCAAAAGTGTACACACTGTGTAACCACCACTACAGTTGTGTATAGTAATAGAACTTTTCTGTCTTTGTTTTCTATTTTATTAATTGATTTGTGCTTTTCTCTATATTATTCTCTTTTATTTTGCTTACTTCAGTCCTCCTCTTCTAGTTTTTTAAAGGAAAACCTTAGGTTATTGATTTGAAACTTTTTCCTTCTCCAATATAAACATTTTGTGCTATAAATTTTTGTTCTTTAGCTCACAGATTTGCTGTTAAGGCAGTCCTAGAGATCACCTTGTTTGTTCTCATTCTCTCAAAATCACAGACCTTAACTACCCAGCTTTATAAAACTAGTGTTTTATATATTTTTCTGGTTTTCTGGTTAATTCATCTTTTTAATATTGAAAAACTTATAAAAATTTCAAACATATACAAAAGAGAAATAAAATTAAATCCCATATACTCATCACCCAGATTCAAATGATCAAGATATTGCCACATTGGCTTTATTACCTCTTTTTCTTGTTGTCCCAGTTCCCTCATCTATAAAATAAGAGATAACACAGTACCTCACTTCACACTTCTTATGGGTATGAAGTGAGTTAATGCATGTTAAGTGCATTAACATGCCTGTTAGTAGTGAGTGCCTTACAAGCATTTATATTGTTAAATTATTGACTAAAACTTCTTAAGCATACAGAAGAGTGTGATAAAGGTGTTGATTGAGAATTTGGAGTGGTGAATAAGATTTCTGATTATTCTAGGAAGATTACTTCATAAGTATTTTTTTAATATTTTTTCTTAATTTCTGATACAGTAAATATTGATAGATACTACCTATACAAACAAAATTTCTTTGGGACCCTCAATAATTTTTAACAAGATAAAGGGTTTATGAACTGGTACACTAAATATAATTCCCACACATTGTTTGTGTCAAAACAATATTTATGAATGTCTTCATTTTTTAAATCAATCCTTAAATGTATCTGCTTCTTAAGTGTGCCACTTCTGTGTATGGCACCGCCTCATGCATTACAGGGTCAGTTTCTCTAAGGAGGATCCTTTGAGTTCTGACTTATCTTTGCCACAAATTACTAAAGGCCTGAGTCCCCAGATGTGTTAAACTGTGGAGGCTTGACATAGTTCATTTTAGAACTCTTGTTCTTAGAACAGAAATATAATTTTTTGCAATTATTTGCAGTTCACCTAACATTGCCAAAAAATTTCACGTTGGACATTTGCGTTCCACCATCATAGGTAAGTGTCATTTCACAGAAAGTACTAAATGTGCCTTTGATAGTTCAGTCTTATGGTTTAATGCTTAAATGACAATAGAACAAAAAAGTTTAAATTTATATGAGCTTGATAATAAATATTACATGAAATGGGAAAAATTGGTTTAAAAGTGGAAAAAAGAAATTTGTTCAAAACCAAAAGATTAATTCAGAAACCAGTTTTAACTGGTATATTTGTTATGATTTTAACTCTATAAAAATATGAAAAATTATGTATATGAGATCTAAAAGATGTAAAAATGAAAATAATTACTGTATTTTTCAGGCCATAAAACATACCTAGGTTTTAGGGGGAAAAAATGAAGCAAAAAATGGGGTAAAATATTTATTAACATAAATAATGTAATATTTCACCAATGTAAATGTAAACAGAACTCAACAGCAGCATTAACAACCATTATTCCTCCCAAATTTGGACAATGGGGGGAACGTACATCTTATAATCCAAAAAATACAATAATGTGGGGATGGTAATAATCGCTCCCAATTTTTTTGTTATATGTTTTGTTTTAAAAAAGAAACAATGTTGTATGTCAGTTGTATCTCAATTTAAATAAAAAAGGAAACTCAGTCTTAGTGATGGGTGTGCTAACTGGAGTGTTCAAGACTGGAAATTGAAGCAAGTCTATCCTAATAAAGATTACTATCGTACTTTATAGCTGTAATGTTTTAGTGCAGCAATTTCAGCCTTTTTTATTTCATGGCACACATAAACTGATTACTAAAATTCCACTCCACAAAATCTGACCAAAAAAAAAACAACAACAGATGATTTTGATTCATTCACACCGTGGCTGTTGTGTTGGCTGTTGTCATTTTTTTATTTGAAAATTTAGGGAAAGAGGTCACTGCCCCTGACTAAACACATAGTAGGGTATTGCATGTTTTAAAATTCCTTGCAGCACAGCACTGTGCCACTTGAAGCACACCAGTTGACAGTCACTGGTTTAGTGCGTAGCTTTATGATTTTTATATATTTAAAACATATAATGCAGCATTCCAGTTTAAAAACTGCAATTAGAATTGGAACTGACTTTGAAGTTTATCTCATCTAATCTGTCTTTCAGTATAAAAATTTGTCTATGGAATGCTAAAGAGAAAGTCATTTAACCTATACTTGAAAACTTCTAAGAATTGGAGAAATCAGCAGTTGTGGCATACATTATTATTAAACTGGAGTCAGCTTTCATTGTTACAAAGTTCTCAAGCTGCATTTTTAGAGAAGAAATGATAGGACTTGATGAAAAAAGAGTATAACAAATATACAGTCTAAGAAGAGCTACATGAGTAAGTCAAAATTAAAGGAGTGATGAAAAGGAATGATGGATAGAGCATGACAAAGTTTTTTAATAGTTAAGGGAAGTACTTAGACCAGGAAGAGAGAATATTTATTGAGAATCTACTTGGCAGAGTGAGCTATTTAGAAATAAAGCCAGTATAGCTCAGGGTCTTTAGGGCACAGCCCAATTGCTTCTTATTAATTACCAAGATAGTGTTATTTTCTGTCCTTGGCATTGACTTGGACATGTTCCCTACTCCCATTAATGTTAATAAACACTTTGTTCTTGTGAAAGTTAGGAGATTCCTTATAGTAAGTGCCCCCACAATAATTTCTTACTTTCCATTTCGTAGATGAAAACACAATACTGGATGTTTTAATTAAAAAAAAAACTGAATTGTTAAATTTTACCAAAAGAATTTTCTATATTACACTTTGATAATAGAGAAGCACATGGTTCTTATGCCAAAATGGATAATAAGAGTGAGAAACTATATGTTTTATTCATTGCTAGGAAATTTCATAGCAAATCTCAAAGAAGCTTTAGGACATCAAGTAACTAGAATAAATTACCTTGGAGACTGGGGCATGCAGTTTGGTAAGTAAGTTTGATATTTTATTTTTCATTTTAGTGTTAAATGTGATATGTTTTAATATCAGGTCACTTGATCATCTGGACAGAATATAGGCAGAATCTCATTAGATAAAGTAGTGCTTCCTACTTGTTTTTTTTCTTCCTAATGGCTCTTTGCATAAATCTTGTATTCTATTTATTAGACTAATTCTCACCACACAAGTAAGTTTTGAGGGAGGAAACTTCATACATTTAGATAAACACCAAATAAATACAGAGTTTTGTGGTTTTATTAAAGAAAATATCTTATATTTGTGAGTTAAATGGAGAAATAAATACACAGGGAAAAAAGTAAAGCTTTATATACTCTTCTCAACCACAGGCCCACCTCTATTTTTAAAGATTTTACTCACTCTTAGAGGGAAGGGAACGGAGGGAGAAAGAGAGGTAGAGAAACAGGGATCTGTTGCCTCTTGCACACGCCCTGACTGGGGACCTGGCCTGCAGCCCATGGGCCTTGACCAGGAATCAAACCAATGGCCTTTCACTTTGTGAGATGATGCCCAAACCACTGAGCCACACAGGTCAGAGCAAGCCACCATTTTTTAAGAGACTTTATTTATTTGGTTTTTTAGAGAGAGGGGGGAAGAAAGGGAGAGAAACATTGATATGAGAGAGAAACATCAATTAGTTGCACTCCCATGTGCCCCAGTCAGGGACCAAACCTATAACCCAGGCATGTGCCCTGATAAGAAATCGAACCGGCAACCTTTCACTTTGTGGGATGATGCCCAACCTACTGAGCCACACCAGCCAAGGCGTGACCCACCATTTTTTAAATAAGGGAAGTCCAGCCTCCCTGGGCCCTCCTACATCTTTTTATATCCCTGGTCTGTGATCTGGAGGAAAAACAAAGAGGAAGAGAAGAGCGAGACCCAGGCAGATAAGTGCCACAAATTATCTCCAGTATCAATAATTTAGTCAGAATCATTCCTAGCTCATACACACCAGTAATCAGATTATGGAAAGGCAAGACAAATGTAGTTGCTAAGATGGTAAAGGATTGGTAGCATGTAAAATTTCAGGTTTAAAAAAATCTCTGACCACTACTGTGCATGCTTTTAAGTACCAGCACTTAAAGTGTCACCTCTGTAAAGCACTGACACACAGACACATCCTTGCCCACTTTCTCACATCACCACATTCCTACCAGCTCTATTCAAATAGGCTTCTGTCTCACTGTCTTATTTGCGTGCTTCTCTTCCTGCTAGGCAATATGGTTTTTGAGGGCATGGAGTGTGTCTTAATTATTTTTTATCTGTAATGCTTGGCACATAAGGGGCACTTAGAATGATGAATGACTCTGACTCTGTCCAGGGAGGTATTTTATAATAGTAATCCAAAAGAAAGGCTAAGTAATATTTTAAAGCTTCTGTGAAGTGCAGTGTGCATTGCCTGTTGTAAAGTTTACTGGCAGTACTATGTTTTATATCTAGTGAAATGAAATCAAAGCTTTCGAAAGACAGACTTATGACTTTTTCTTATTAATATTATTCTTTGAGTTAAAAAAATCTTTTTCTAGACCTTAAACAGGGTAGAACTTGAATCTACTCTTACATCCACTGTGCTTTTATGTGGAGGAATCAGAAAACATGCCCTGCATTTTAAAACTTTACCTGCAGTTCATAGCATCTGGTAGTCAGAGGTTTAGGCTCTAGGCTTAACAGTTGGATTTAATAGATGGTGTCCAGTTTGCATTAGTTTGACCAACTTAAGGCATTTCACAGACATTAGCAAATATGTGATTGTGGTAGTCATAAAATTTTAGCTGCAGGAGTTTATTATAGCTGTTTTTTCTCTATAGAACTGCAGTGCTTATTGATCTGTCAACATTTCCATTATAATCGTTATTGTTGAAGAGTTAATTTTGGTTGTTTCAGCCATCCCATATTGGAAGTTTGCAGACATTCTTAGGCACAAAATTAGTTTTTGAAAATATATTAGGTGAAATGTTAAATGGAATTGGCGTTTACTTTTCCTATTTCTGTTTTTTAGAACACTGAGCATCTTTCCAAACCCTGCTTGCTCCCAAGACTCTAAATCACAATCATATGTGCTTTTGCTTGAAAGTGAATAGAGCTGGTACATATTTTAGTCATCCTTCTAGGCCTGTCTCAGCTCCAAAGCATTATACTCATATAGCCATGTGTTCAGTAGCATCCCACTCTCTTCTAAGCCTGTACAGAAAAATGTGCACCAATCTGCAAGGCCCAGTGGCACTAGGTCCTTTAGAGCTGATACTTGGTAATTGATATAGTTGTAGAAAGGTGATTTTTTAAATACTTAAACTGTAATACACCTTTTATTGCTGTTGGTCCCAGGCTGCAGATACCCTTTCAAACTGAAATTGTGATCATCTTTTAGTACAATGTCCTAAAGTATTCACAGTCCACACTATGTGTTTTCATTGCTGGATTATAAACTTCAATTATTTTTTAAAAAGATTCAAATAAACATTGTTTCTGAATGCTAAACTTATCATCAAAGGCTGAAAAAAAAGTATTGACAAAAGTTGGCCAGGTAAAAGAATTTTGTTGCTAGGTCACCTTGAATGAGAGAAATAATCAGGGATGTTTCAAGTGTTACTTTTTATTGCCTTAATTCAATTATTTGTTTAAGAACTAATGTTATCATACCAATATAATTCCTACTTTTGTTTTATTTTAACATTTACAGGGTTTTTTAAATACTTTTTAAATTTATTTTTAGAGAGAGGGGAGAGGAGGGAGAAAGAGAGATAGAAAAACATCAATGTGTGGTTGCCTTTCACGCAACCCTTACTGGGGCCCCACCTGGCCCACAACCTGTGCATGTGCCCTGACTGGGAATCATACTGGTGACCCTTTGGTTCCCAAGCCTGTGCTCAATCCACTGAGCCACACCAGCCAGGTCTACATTTATAAGTTTAAAAGAAAGTTCTGAAATCACTTGCCATCAGTTTATCTTCACAAACTTTGAGTGTCCAGTGCCCAGCATCATGCTTTCCCCAGAGTGACTGCTCAAGAAATGATTCTTTTATTCTGTCTTCTAGGGAACTGTTGAACACTGTTATTACAAAGACAAATTAGTTTTAGCCCCTGCCTTTGATGAGTTTATAGTCTTGGTTTCTGTGAAATTAATTTTAGTAATTGATCTATTTCAACCTGTTGAATTTGTGATTCAATATATTGAATTTTACTTGTGTTAGTTTATGGGGTAGCAGAAGGTGATAGTATGTGTTTGCAATGTTCTCAAGATACATAATTATGGGAGATTGATCTTTTTATACAACTATACCTGTTCCCTGCCATGATTGTTCTCTGCTGTTCCATTTTATGTTTTCATTTATGGATTATTGCAATAGGTCTTCTGGGAACTGGCTTCCAACTGTTTGGCTATGAAGAAAAACTCCAGTCCAATCCTTTACAACATCTCTTTGAAGTAAGTCGTTGAGAAACAACATTAGAAAATACTTCAACTTTCCTTTTTTCAGAGTACTATGCAGCTTGCTAACACATTTATAGTCCCAGAGGTTTTAACAAATGTTTCTTAAAACAAGGAACCAAAAAAATTAAAAATGTTGTTTTTATATAACTAGGGAGTTCTTTCAATTTTCAAGTGCAGATGTTCTTTTATTACTACTTTAGTTGATTTGAGAAAGTAGTTCTCTAGGTATAGAATCATCTTAGAATAAACACCTAAGATAACAATTTAACACATGGGAATTTCTCAATTTTTGTCATTTGCTGTATGCTGCAGCTTTCTTCATGGTAGTAACTACAGTTCATCTGCACTTCATAACATGAGAATATACTATTTTGCTCTTGTTTTGGTGTGGAGGAAAGAAGGTGTGTTTCTCTCTGAATTTGTACGTGCTTTCTTAATTTCTGGCTTTTGGCTTTTTTTCCTGGCTTTTGTCCAATGTGAACTCCTTTCTATTCTAATTCATTTAGTCCCTTCATGTCTCTGTCATCAGTCCTTCCTGGAATTCATTAATAAAACTCTTCCTGTCCACTTAATCTCCAGGGATGTGTTTCCTTTTCCTTGCCTCAGTTATCTCTGGTACTGCTGGGCCTCACAAAAGTGCAGATACATCTTCAGCCATGTTGGTGACATACCAGGGAATCAGACTAAAGATGTTATGCCTGTGTATGAGGAAGAGTGTGTGCCAAAATAATGCTTATTTTCTCTAACCAAAGTCACAAAGTGCTTCCTTGTTTTTCCTTTTTTCTTTCTTTTTCTTTTCTTTTTCTTTTTTATTTTATTGATTATGCCATTACAGTTGTTCTATTCCCCTCTTCATTACCCTCCACCCTGCACACCCCCTCCCCCACCATTTCCCCCCTTTAGTTTATGACCACATGTCTCAAGTTCTTTAGATTCTATATTTCCCCTACTGTTCTTGTCCTCCCCCCATTTTCTACCTACCATCTATGCTACTTATTTTCTGTACCTTCTCCCCCCTTCTCCTTCTCCCACTCCCCTGTTTTTAACCCTCTATGTGATCTTCATTTCTATGGTTGCACTCCTGATCTAGCTGTCCTCTTAGTTTGCTTTTGTTTTAGATGTGGTTGTTAATAACTGTGAGTTTGCTGTCCTTTCACTGTTCATCTTTTTTATCTTCTTTTTCTTAAATAGGTCCCTTTAACATTTCATATAATAGGGCTTGGTGATGATGAACTCCTTGAATTTGATCTTATCTGAGAAGCACTTTATCTGCATGGTTTTCCTCCTACAGCTGGCTTTATCATTAAATTTCACAGAAATAAATCGTAATTCTTAAATATCTTTAAAGTTTTGTCATCTCCTTCTGAATCCATGCCTGTAATACAATTTAAACACCTACATTTTGATTTATAATATTAACCAACACATATTTTACTCTCCAATTAAGAGCTTTGATAGGCAAGAATTTAAAAATTAATAATTTTTATGGTTTTCTGTAAGTAAGGTATGCCACCTTAGCACCTGGAATTTTTGCTGTTTTCTTTTGTTAAACTTTGAATAATGTCAGGTATTTTTTACCTCAACTTTTGTGAACCTGTTCATCAGATCCAGGCCCAAGGAGATAACCCATGCTGCAGAATATACAAACCTGCTTGAAGATCTTGTGTCATTGAGAGAACATTTTTAAGAGTTTAAAGTATAGGGACTTCTGGTCAAGATGGCAGTGTAGGCAGATATGGCTTGCCTCTTTGCACAACCACATCAAAATTGCAACTAAAATATAAAACAACCATCACTCAGAACCATCAGAAATCAAGTTGAATGGAAATCTGACAACTATGGAATTAAAGAAACCATATCTGTCCACTCTGGTGAAAGGGGTACAGATGAGGAACAGGCTGGTCCCTTACCTACATGTGGTAGATTAAAATTTGGGAGTGATAACTTGGGACCAAGGAGTCCCAGCCCCATACCAGTGCCTCCAGCCCAGGGTTCCAGTGCCAGAAAGATAGATCCCCAGAACTTCTGGCTGCAAAAACCAGGAGGGATTGAATCAGTGGAAGAAACTTCTAGAACCCCAAGCAGTTCCTCCTAAAGTACCCACATACTAACTCACCTACTCAAGACTCCCTCTGAGCTCCAGCACTGGGATAACAGCTAAGGGAAGAAGAATTGAAGTATCTGGCATCAAGGCAAGCAGAGGCCATTGTCCCTTTTCTAAAACCTCTCCCCACAGAGCTGGCAAGCTGATGCCATATCTGAGACTCCATCAACCTGGCTAACACCATTTGACCCCGCCTTGAAGATCCTCAGAGATTATGCCCCTCCCACCTTACGAGCCCAACCAAGCTGCTTTTTCATATAAATGACTGGTCTTGGCTCATGCTTCACAACTTCCTAAACCCTCTCAAACAAGCAACAGCTGGCCTCAGGGAGCCCCAGGCCCAGCACTAGATTCACAGGTAGGCTTCACCTGGGAATCTCCAAGCCCAGAATAAGCAACAGCCATCTCAGATGCCTTTTCAGCTCAGGCAGGGTAGCCCTGGGCAAAACACAAGTAGTGTCTGACCTTAACCTGAACAGCCTAGGAAACCCCAGGGCCAATGCATCCAGTGGACAGCTACAGACCACATAAGAGCATCACTGCCCTGCCCCTACACAGAGGGTAGTCGGCTGATCCTCCATGGAGGTTGGTGGTAAGTGGTCATGACCAATCCTTGCAGCTGACTGGCCTGGGTAAATCCCTCACATTGATCTTCCAACAGCAACCAAGGCTCAACTGCAAGAGGAGGGTGTACTCAGCCCACACAAAGGGCACACCTCAAGTACCCAGCTTGGGTGATAGGGGAGGCTGTGCCACTAGACCCTACAGGACACCTACTATATTAGGCCACAGTACCAACTCAGAGTCAAAGCAAATCTACCTAATACATAGGAACAAATACAGGGAGACTGACAAAATGAGTAGACAAAAAAACTCCAGAAAAAGAACTAAACAAATGGGAGATAAGCAATCCATCAGATGCAGAGTTCAAAACACTGGTTACAGAGATGCTCAAGGAGCTTAGTGAGGACCTCAGCAGCATAAAAAATTTCCAGTCAGGACTTCTGGCCAAGATGTAGGGGTAGGTAGACACATTGCGCCTCCTCACACAACCAAAGGAAGAACAACAAATTTAAAAACAAAAGACAACCAAACTGACAGAAAGATCAAACACTATGGAAGTCCAACAACCAAGGAGTTGAAGAAGAAACATTCATCCAGACCAGTAGGAGGGGTAGAGATGGGCAGCCAGGTGGAGAGGACTCTCGGCAAGGCAGTGGCTGGAGGACTGGAGCCAGCGAGGCAGTGGCTGGCAGACCAGTTGGTCTCACAGTCGCCTGTAGATAAACCAGAAGGAACAACTGGGGAGTGAGACAGACCACACAATCCAGGGTTTAAGTGCAGGGAAATAAAGCCTCAAAACTGCTGACTGAAAACACCTGGGGGTGATGAGGTGGCAGTGGGAGAAATTCCCATCCTCACAGGAGAGATTGTTGGAGAGACCCACAGGGTTCTAGAATGTACACAAACCCACCCACCTGGGAATCAGCACCAAAAAAGCCCACTTTGATTGTGTGGGGGAAGTGACTGAAAATCAGCAGAGAGCTGAACAAGCAGCATTGTTCCCTTTCGGACCCCTCCCTCACATACAGCTTCACTACACAACAACATGGGTTGCCCTGCCCTGGTGTACACCCAAGGCTCCACCCCTTACTACATAACAGGTGTGCCAAGACAAAAAAAAAAAAAATGGCCCAAATGAAACAACAGATCAAAGCTCCAGAAAAAATACAACTAAGTGAGGAAGAGATAGCCAACCTATCAGACGCTCAGCTCAAAACATTGGTGATCAGGATGCTCACAGAATTGATTGAATATGGTTGCAAATTAGAGGGTAAAATGAAGGCTATGCTAAGTGAAATAAAGGAAAATGCACAGGGAACCAACAGTGATGGGAAGGAAACCAGGACTCAAATCAATGATGTGGACCAGAAGAAAGAAACAAACATTCAACCAGAACAGAATGAAGAAACAATTAAAAAAATGAGGAGAGGCTTAGGAACCTCCAGGACATCTTTGAATGTCCCAATATCTGAATCATAGGGGTGCCAGAAGGAAAAGAGGAAAAGCAAGAAGTTGAAAACTTATTTGAACAACTAATGAAGGAGAACTTCCCCAATCTGGCAAAGGACATAGACTTCCAGGAGGTGCAGGAAGCTCAGAGAATTCCAAAGAAGTTGGACCTAAAGAGGAACACACCAAGGCACATCATAATTGCATTACCCAAGATGAAAGATAAGGAGAGAATCTTAAAAGCAGCAAGAGAAAAGGAGACAGTTATCTACAAAGGAGTTTCCATAAGACTGTCAGCTGACTTCTCATAAGACACGTTACAAGCAAGGAATGCCCAGAAAGAAGTATTCCAAGTCATGAAAGGCAAGGACCTACATCCAAGATTACTCTATCCAGCAAAGCTTTCATTTAGAATGGAAGGGCAGATAAAGCGCTTCTCAGATAAGGTCAAGTTCAAGGAGTTGATCATCACCAAGCCCTTATTATATGAAATGTTAAAGGGATTTATCTAAGAAAAACATTTAAAAAAAGAAGAAAAATAGGAACAGTAAAATGACAACAAACTCACAGTTATTAACAACCGAACCTAAGCAAAAACAAAGTAAGAACACACTAGAACAGAAACAGATTTATAGAAATGGAGATCACACGAAGGGTTATCAGTTGAGGGAGCAGGAGGAGGAGAGAGGGGGGAAAGGGTACAGAGAATAAGTAGCATAAATGGTAGGTAGAAGATAGACAGGAGTAGGTTAAGAATACTATAGGAAATGTAGAAGAACTTATATGTATGACCGATGGACACAAACTAAAGGAAGGGAATGCAGGTGGGAGGGGGTGTTCAGGGTAGAGGGGAATTAAAGGGGAGGTAGAAATGGGA